TGTGGCTATATGAGACTATAACATTTTGTGGGAAGCTGGTCTAGATGTTGAAGATGCTGAGGAAGAAGATTTGAAATGTGAGCGCAAGTTACACAAAAAGAACCAGTAGTAAAACCAAGATAAGCAACCAACTAAAAACTTGTGGATGCCTCTTGTACTGTGGATACGTAAGACATTGGGAAAGGCTGGGGGAGGAGTACACGGGATCCCTCTGTACAATTTTTGCAACTTTCTGTGAATCTACTATTTCAAAACAAAGAGTTTTTAAAAGTATGGATGTCTGCTGGGCGCCAAGAACTCAAGAACACACTCAGTGCAGGGATATGGTCCTGATACTCTGATGCTGGACGAGAAGCAGATCAGTACATAAATAAGTGCCCCAAGACAGACTGGATCACAAGGTACAAAGTACTCTGTGTGGAAGCAGGAGAGGTCAACTGGAAGAATATGAGAGGCCACCTCAGAGAAGGAGGAATTTAAGCTGAGCCTTGACTGATAAGCAGTGTTTTAGGGGTGATGAGGGATGGAAGGTACTCCCCAAGCCCAGGGAGCAAAGTGTGGGGAGGGCATGAGGAAGCGCTTGGTATGTTTAGGAATAGCTAATGGACCCATGAAGCTGGAGCATCAGAGTTAGGGAGGGGAGTGAGGGAAGAGACACTTGGGAGATAAGACTGGAAGAGTGGACCTTAGAATGCCAAGCTAGGAAGGTTGGACTTTACCAAAGTCCTCTGAGCAAGGGAATGTATCATTAGTTTCAGTAAATTTGGTAAGATGATATATAGAAAAAGGAATGCTTAATATTGACAAAAATACTCATCTAAGTCTGATATTTAGTATACGTAACTTATTAGGTGACATTTAGCCATAGGTAGGAGCGCAGGCTCTGGACTCTGACTACATTGGCTGGAATCTTGGCTGTATCTCTATTCTAGCAATCATGGGCAAGTTATTGAACCTCACTGTGTTCCAATTTCCTCATCTGCAAAATGGGGACTAATAATGGTACCAGCTTCCTAGGATTTTTGTGAGGATTAAATGAAATAACTCCTGATGCTCAGAACAGTTCCTGGCATAGGATGGTAACACCTAAATGTAAGCTGCCATGTTTGTTCAGGAAAAGGAAAAATTATATATATATATATCAATCACTATGTAATAACCATGATAATCAAAGGAAGCCATGATGCAAGAGGTAAAATAATAGGAAATCTCTAATCTACTTTTCTCTGACACTAGACAGATACACCTTGAATTAATTTGAAATTTCCAAAAATTCACCAACCGCTCCCGCCCACCCCCCAAAAAATAAAAACCATGGGAAAGGTGAAAAGCAGCTTAGGAGCATGAGTGTTAAAGATGTGCTTTTTAAATTTTTATTACTTTTACTGCTTTTTAACTATTCCATATTTGCAAAAGAAAAGGATTACACATACATATAGCATACATAATAATAAAATGAATACCATGTTCCTGTTACCTCATTTAAAAACTGTGGTTGAGACAGCTAGATGACACTCCAGTATCCATTCCCCCACTCTTCAATAGAAAAGTCTTAGCTGGAATAACGGTTGGCCTGCTAAAGACTTCATTTCCAGCCTCTTTTGCAGCTAAATGTAACTATGTGACCAAGTTCTGGCCAGTGGGATGAGAGCAGGGTGATGTGTGCATCTTTAGGCCATGCCCTTAAAAGGAAAGGAACACAGGGTCTCCCCTCTTTTCCCCCTTCCAATTGATTGGAAGTTGTGGCCAGCCATTCCTGACCACAAGGACAAGGGCAACACACTAAGTTGTCAGACTAATAAAATGGAAGAAATCTGTGTCCCTGACACCTTGGAGCTGCCATACCAGCCCTGGATTGTCTACCCAATTAGGTGAGAAAAAAATTAACATCTATCCTGTTTCAGCCTCTGTAGTTTTGTATCCTAACTCATACAATTACCAACACTTTTGAAGCCATCTGTGTGCCCTTCCACAATCCCATCTTACTTCCTCTCTACCAGGAGTAACGACTCTCTGGAATTGTATTCATCATTTTTTCCTTTTCTTCATAGCTTTGCCACATATGTACGTATTCCTAAACACAAAATCTTGCCTGTCTTCCAACTGTATGTGAATGAATGAAATACTGTGCATTTTTTCTGTAAGCTTTTTTGCCACTCAGTATTATGCTTGTGTAATTTATCTATGTTAATAAGCATAGCTTATTAAACTTGCTAAATAATATTAAATTATGTGAAAATACCACAGTTTATTTATCCATTCAGAATTGGTAGACATTTAGGTTATTTACAGCTTTTGGTTACTGTACAAAGATGCTATGAATGGTCTTATATGTGTTTCCTAGGACACATGCAAGAATTTCTCTGGGATACACTCCTGGATCAGAATTGTGATGTTACAGAGTATGTGCACGTCAGCTTTACCAGATAATGCCAGACTGTTTTACCAAATGATTGTACCCATCTATTCTCCCTTGATAACACTTGAACTTAGGTAGGCTGGTGATTAAGTTCTGGCCAGTGGGAGGTATGTACAGCTGTTGTTTGGGACTTCTGAAAAAGCATTCTACTTTGCTGGCTGAGTTGAATGGCATCCAGCTTTTTTCCTACCCTCTTCCACTTTCCTGCTGCTTGAAATACAAATAGGATGGCTGGCACTACAGCAGCCTGTTCAGAACCAAGAGATGACCTTGTAGGTGGAAGTCAGAGTGAGGATGTTGGAGCAGAAAGACAGAAGAGCTTGGGTTCCTGATGACCATGGACCCACCATCCCAGTCCTGGGCTGTCAATTCTAAACTTATGTGAGAGAGAAATAAACTTCTATTTTGCTTATGTCACCAGGTTTTGGGGGTTTTGTTATAGATATCTGAACATAAATCTAGTTTATTGTTTTTCTATTTCTTGTGGATTTTTAGGAATTCTTTATATGATCTGGGTACTGTTCAATATGGATTTTATTTGAGGGAAATACCTTTTTCCCATTTATGGGAAAAAGGTATTTTGCCCCTTCATTCTTTCTGATGTTTTTCATGTATATTAGAAATTATCTGTAATATAGTTAAATTTATTTACCTGGAAAAGGACTTTTCCTTGGCTTACTCATGGCAAGAAGTTAAAAGATAGGTATTTCCAAGTTTACTGTACAAAAACCCAACATAGTTAAAAGTGGATCTCTGTCGTTCTGATTCCTTTCCTGCATTTATCACCATCATTTTTCACATTAAAGATTAGGAGATGTATATTCAGTGCATGGTTTGGTCTGCAGACACCCTCATATTGCTCTAAGGAAGGGATTGCTAATCTTTTTTACAGTAAAACGCCAGACAGTCAATATTGTAGGACTTGCGAGCCATATGCCCTCTGTCACACCACTGAACTTTGCCCTTGGAGCATGAAAGCAGTCATAAACAATATGTAAGGCATAGATATGACTTTATTCTTGGCACAGAAATATGAATTTCATGTAATTTTGCATCACAGAAAAAAATCTTTTTTTCAATCATTTAAAAGTCTAGGGACTTCCCTGGTGGCACAGTGGTTAAAAATCTGCCTGCCAATGCAGGGGACACAGGTTCGATCCCTGGTCAGGGAACATCCTACATACCAGGTAGCAATTAAGCCTGGGCTCCAAAACTACCGAGCCTGCGCTCTAGAGCACACGTGTCACAACTCCTGAGCCCATGTGCCACAACTACCGAAGCCCATGCACCTAGAGCCCGTGCTCTGCAGCAAGAGAAGCCACAGCAGTGAGAAGCCCGCGCACTGCAACAAAGAGTAGCCCCCGCTTGCTGCAACTAGAGAAAAGCCCATGCACAGCAAAGAAGACCCAATGGCAGCCAAAAAAAAAGTCTAAAAAGCTGTACTTAGCTTCTGGGCTGTATGGAAGCAGGTGGTGGGCTGGGTAGTAGTTTGTTGGCCCGTCTCCAAGGTGTTGTGGTGGAATCTGTGGGACAAACTGCACCTGCGGATAGCCGCTGCCCTACTGAACTATCACGAAAGCAGTTTCTGAGCTTGTTCTATGCCTTAGAGAAGTGCATAATGATAAGAACCAGGAGGTGAAGAAAAAGGCAAGTGGCAAAGGTTGTGCAAAATGACATGTTTATGACAGGCTATCCCCTGTCTAAATGCGTGCATTGTGAGGTAAGGAGCTGGTGAACTGCCATTGTGTGGCAAGCATACTTGCTCCGCAGGCCAGTGCAAGATACCACCTGGATCCCTGTCTTTGTCCCCTTGTTAGACGGTGTTTCTAAGTCCTGAGTGGTAGGTCCTATACCTTGGAATCTGAACCCTGAACCTTGATCCCTGAACCTGCAAGTGAGGGTTCTCTAGAGCTAATACACAGCCAGGGCCCCAGTCCTCGGGGTTGGAAGAAAGAACTGTGCCCGTGTGTTTATCAGGCAGGACCTCTCTTCGGGCCGACGGATGGAGACCTCATGCCGGTGACCCAAGACGTGCAAAAATCATGTTCTCACACAATACTTCACTACCCACCCCCAGCTCTGCAGGCTGCGGCTAAAGGCCAGGGCGTTCGCACACTAGGAGATCTGAGCTGTGCACACCGCATGAGTTAGAGCAACCCGCTTCTAACTGTCCAGCCGTCGAGACTTCCCTCTGGGGAGCGTCACCAGCCGTCCCCGGAGAAGAATTGGGACTTAGAAGCAGGCGCATCAGGCTCTTGGGGAAGTCTGGGCCCTTTTCGCGCCAATTAGAAAGTGACGATCGGCGGAGCCACCACGGTGACCCGGTGGCCAGTGCGGGCCTGTCCCACCTGCCCCGACACCTCGCGGGGCGGAGGCGGCCCCTCCCCCTCCCCTCCCCCTCTCCCGGAGCCCTCCCCGAGGCCCCGCCCCCCGCGGCCGGCAGCTCTGGGGGCGGAGGCCCCGGGACCAGGGGCGGCCCGGCCTGACCTCGACCTCCGCCGCGGGGCCGACCGGCGAGTCCCACCGGGCCGCCGCAGGCCCGGGCCCGCGAGCC